CATAGAGGCCCAACTGATGCAGGTCCGGGCTGATGCAGAACGCCAGAACAAGGAGTACAATGAGCTCCTTGACATGAAGATCAGGCTGGAGCAGGAAATCGCTACTTACCGGCGCCTCCTGGAAGGAGAAGATCTGTAAGGACCTTACTAGAATCCAGGGATATGTCTACACAATGTGCTATGTTAATGTCCACACGTTAAGCCCTGTCACTCATTCCCCAGCATCAATGCAATGCCTATCACAAAATCAATTACACACACACACACACCAACAAAGCAAAAATATATCCAAAAGTGCCCACACCCCCAAAATACCAAATATAGGCTTTGTACTTGAGGTTGTGTTATAGAGATGAAAAAGATTATGCAAATGTTCATTTTTATAATGAATACATAATTGAAAGCAAAATAACTTTTTAAAATTCTCACTGAGAGGTCATGAACTGCGCCACCGGCCACAGAGGTCTGTGGGAACCAGTTGAAGAATGTTGCAGCAGCACCTGTCTTCAAATACCACACCCAAGAAAGTCACAGAGAACACAGATTTCAACTCCTATTATAGTTAGGATATTTCAATTAGGGAAACGTTTAGCATGTGTTAAATGAGTCCGTTTGGAAGCTATGTATTTTTCAAGTTAAAAACTAAGACGCTCTGCCCTAGCCGGTTGGGCGCAATGGATAGAGTTTGGCCCTTGAACTGAAGAGTCCTGGGTTCGACCCCGGTTGCAGGCTGGATCCCCAGCTCCTGGTCAAGCCACGTGCAGGAGGCAACCAATCAATGTGTCTCTCTCACATCGTTGTTTTTCCCTCTGAGTCTCCCCCCCTCCCCACCTGCTTCCACTCTCTCTAAAAAAATCAACGGAAAAATATCCTCAGGTGAGGATTAACAAAAAAAAAAAGCATGACACTCAAGTTAGAAGAGACAAGCATAATAAAAGGGGGGAAAATACAAACACAGGATTAAAACATCACTCAGACTTTATTTCGAAACAAAATGACAGGACGGTGCTTCATTTTCAACATGGCAATAACACTTTTTTTCTGTTTCTTTTTCTTTTCTTAAAAGAAGCATCCTGGAGGAGAAAGCAGGTAAGTGTTCTAATTTCACACATTACCTGTAAGACTAAACCCTCCCTCAGTAGCTTACCATTTCTTAGCTGCCACTGGTGAGAAGTAAAGGGAGATCAGTTCTCAAGTGAGCTGATACTACCCTCGGGATTCTGAAAAGCAAGCACATCACATAAAGGAGATCTCCCTGTGGGAAATCTGTCACACCCCCAGGACAGAGTGATTTTCTTGGCCCTACGCTACTGTTGTCCTGAGACATCCTGAAATCTTGAAAATGAAAAACAGGGTGAAAATGTGCAATTTGCTTAGTTCAATATTATATATTTCTCTTTGGGGCTGAGAAGAGTAGAAAATATATAAATTTGGGAAGAGTGGCACCTTTTCTGCATTTATTTTTAAAATGGACTTAAGATCACTTAAGAAAGAGAACTTTTGTCTAAAAGAAGGAAGTATATACAAAATAATTGAAGTTGAGGATTATAAACCAGCAGAGTTATGTGTCTGAATTAACATTTTATATTTCAATCTAAATTCAGATGTAAAGAAAACCAGGAAGATTAAGACAGTGGTGGAAGAAGTAGTGGATGGCAAGGTCGTGTCATCTGAAGTCCAAGAAATGGAAGAAAGTATATAAACCCCCGCCAGACGGAGATGCTGCTGAGGGCCTGAGAGAAGTGGAGCTGTAATGTCTGCTCCCTACAGGAAAGCGGCCATCAGAAAGCACCATTAGCGCTTACTACTGGTGCGGTGGAGGGGGTGGCCCATCTATCTATCAGTCTCTGTAATTGAACATAAATGTTTTACTCAAAGGAGCTGCAAATTGCCAGCAAAAGTGAAATCCAATGAGCATTAGGATATTTAAAACATCATTACTGCCATCTTTACCATGAAACATTAATTACAAGCTATAGACCACCTAATATCAATTTATTAATGTTCCTGAAAATTACAACACATTTTCAATGATATTAAACCTCATGAAGCAGAGGGTCTATGCAAATAAATCTCTTTCTCTTGAATTTCTTCTGTTTTGGAGCTGCAAAATCTCCTTTCTGGGGCCCCTGGATTCTTGATAAAGGTAATTTCTTGGTTAAATTTCATAGAACTCATCCTCAAGTGTGACCCTGGGGTCCTTGTTCATCCTCATCTCAAAAGCACAGCATAAATCAGCAGTAACCCAATATTCTTTCACTCATTCACAAGACCTTACATTTTTGTTCACACAAAAGTGAAAGATGGTATGAACCATGTGATCACTGAATTGCAGAAAATGGAAGGTTTATCTGTCTTTAACTCAGGTGCCAAATTCTGAATTCAAAGACCAGAAAAGTACCCAGACATAAGAAGATGAGCTCACATCTATCTATATAAATGCCTAAGCGACCATCACAACCGAACGGACGGCCGAACAGGCTGCATGGAGCGACCAGGCCAGCAGGGGGGCAGCAAGAGGCAACCAAATGACGTTGGGTGACCAGGCTGTCAGGGGGGTTAGTGAGGGACAACCAAATAGCCAAGCATCAGGCTGCATGGGGCAACCAGGCCAGCAGGGGGGGGCAGTGAGAGGTGACCAAACG